CTACACCCAACACATGCAATAGAAGTGACGCAATGCAAATACTAGAGATATGTATGGAAGATACTATTACCAGTCAAATCAGAGGAGAATAAAAAATAATCTTAAAATGTATTCAATTCACATTATAACATTCTAACAAGTTACTTATTTTTATTATAAAAACATCTTGGGGTTCCCATCTGATTGTATTTGATTGATAACACTAATATTATTTCTGAGTGTATATTATCTTATATTGATTTTATTCAAATGTATGATCATCAATTTTTACTCATGTATATAAATGAAGCAAGAAAGTTGTGTGAGTAGTGCCTTGATATGATTATGAGCAGTAGTAATAATTTATGCTTGAAACATGGTCATCAGTAAATATTACTGTATAGCAACACTGTGTGATTTTATCAACATAAAATCTTATCTATTATGGAATAATATTAGCTACTTTTAGAATCCTACGTAAAGTTTCTGATGCTCCTGTTTCACATGGTTTTAAATATTGTGTGACTACTGCTCACTCTAAAGGCCTATATGTATTAACAAGTATACACAGCAATCTGGGGTGATGCACACTTCTCTGTTTTTCTGCTATTTATCTTCAAATATTTGAAAACAAATAGCATAAATATTTAGATCGTATTTTACTTTTCAATTGATCAGATATTACAATGTCACGTTTGCTTTGATCTTAGCTATATGTATATATCACCCAGTTTTTGTTTTCCCTCTCCACCTTCTTTCTCTAACATCACCTGTCTTTTATTTTATTGAAATATCTTGCGTATACCGTAGATTAATAGATAGATAGTAATGAAACTAAAGATGAACACTGTTCCTATGACAACCGTTAAAGTACACTTTGACAGCGTTTAATATTTTTTTGTAATTATTGAAAGTGATGATATTCTGAGAAGCATGTAATGCATTTTTGAACGCATTATTTACCTCAAACTATTGTGATCTTCTTTAGAAACTCAAAGTAGTACAGACCAACTGTGATTCCTTAGACGTTTTCTCAGAGTTCCTACTCATCTAAGAATCAATAGTGTATAGTGGAATATCAAAACGGCATATTATTTATAAGAATGGCCCACATCATTTCTGATTATGAACGCCTCAAGCTATTGTTCTCATTTGTACACAAGGCACTTCATTAGTGCTACATTGCACTTGATGGTTAAACGTTTTCTAGAAGACAAGCGGAAAGGTCTGTTACCCACAGATGGTATAAAAGAGAACTTTATAAGCACTTTTTTCCTTCATGTTCCCCAGTGGAACATAGGGCTTCAAGCTAGTGGCTTGAAGTTTCTGTAACAGTGTTTATTTTACAGGATGGGGTTGCTAGCCTCATGCCCAACCTTTCCTCTTCACCAGCATTATTTCTGGCTTAGCGAGGTAAAGGAGTGCGTCTGTGGCCGGGGATCGAACCCCGGACCATGTGCATGGTCGGCGAGCGTTCTAACCACTATGCCACCGACGCACTTCATAAGCATACAAATGAATAAATCAACTTCTGTATACTCAACAATTTTAGGTATACTGTCAACTACATAGTACTGCGGTGCCATAAAAAATCCTTCTTTCACCATAATGAATAGCGTAAACACTCATGACTATAACAGATTGGCCGACATATTTAATCTTCTCAAATAACTCATCAATAATAACGTGAAGATTTTGTGGGTAGTACAAAACCATCTGATACAGTTAGCATAAACAAAAACGGTTACTTACTTAAAATTGTATTTTTGAAATCACATGTGACTGTTTCTCAAAGTCTGTCAAAAAGCGGTCATAATATCACATGGCACGTAAATTACTATTTGACATAGTGTAAGCTAGTTCATGTGATAACACCACCACACATAAATCTGATAATAGTTAGTGTTTAATTAAAAAAAAGAAATTATTAAACAGATCTATCATTTTGAAGACGTTTTTATGAAATAAGTACTGTTCAGAGGTAGTGTTCTGTTTTTTTTGACATACTAGTAACATTATTTCTACCGTTTTTCGAAAAGTTTCCAATGATCCTATCATGATAATTTAAATGACAGGTAGAACTTACACTAAACGTGGGCATGAGTTCGTTTGATTTAAGCTTTGCGAATAGGTCTATAACGGTGTAAGCATACAGCCGTTACTCTGAGTATATTCACTGCATAATTAATCCTATATGACCAAGAAACAAACACTTTATGTCCTATTCGGAAAGTGGATCCGAATACAAATGACCTAGGATTATTATTATTATTGTTTCCTTTAGTTCCTAGAGGAACATAGGGCCTCAGCCACACGTCTTTATTGCGTTCGGTTCTCTGCCAACGTTTTCGTATGGCTTCACGTCTGTTCACATGCTTTCATCTCATCTTCACATCGTCTCCCCCATGTCACCCTCGCACTGACGACCAACTGGCCACTTCTTATTCGGGTTCCATTCGAATGATAGCCTAGCGTGTGATGTCACTTGATGATGGTTTGTTTTCTCAGAGTATGGCTGATCCACCTTCATTTCTTCATGCATATTTGCTGCACAGTTGGTTCCTGCTGGGTTGGTTCGTTCCCAGAGATCCCACCCTATTGCTGATCTTGAGCAGTATTGAGCGAAGACAGCTGTTGATGAAGGTGTGTAGTTTGTTCGAATTGCATTCCTTGACATGCCGTCTCTGACCTTTATAGAGTAGCATTGACTTTATATTAAAGTTGAAAATCCGGATCTTGTATTTCATGCTGAGTGCAGTTGATCTCCACACAGACTTAAGAGAAATGAAAACTTGCCTTGCTTTCCCGATCTTCGCTCCTTTGATACCCTCGTCAGTTCCGTCTGCCTGTAGTTGAAACGATGCTTCGGATTTCTCCCATTTATGCTGGCTGATTGTTGTCTGTTGTTGTTGCTGTTGCTGTCGACTAGGAATCTTCATCACCTACCTCTGTCTTCTCTGTGTTCACCTGAAGTCCTATCTTCTCTAGATGCTTCTTCTGCCAACTTGTTTTTTCTCACTTACACATCTTCCAGTTTGTGGGCAATCAGACAAATATCATCGCCGAAGTCCAGATGCTCCAAGCTTTTGTGTGGGTCCATTTATGCCTGTTTCCTCGCTGCTTGCTCTGTTGCATTATCCAGTCTACTGCAATCAGGAATCAATCATTGGAGATAGTAGGCAGCCAGCCAGCCAGCTTATCTTACTCCCGTCCTTACTTCTTCGAAGGATTCCATGAGTTTTCCGCTGTAGATTACTTGGCATGCAGCATTATCGTACAACTGTTGGATGAGATGTATAATTTTTGGCGGCACCCCGTAGTAGTGAAGTAGTTGCCAAATCACCTCTAGATCGACGCTGTCGAAGGCCTTTTCAATTTTGATGAAGTTGAGATAAAGAGCTGACTGCCATTCCAAGCTCTGTTCAATGATGATCAGTAGTGTTGCTATTTGATCGATGCATGACTTGTTCCTTCTGAATCCAGTCTGTTCCGGTCGACGTTTTTCATCGAGGGTGGTGTGTTTGATTCTCTCCAGGATGATGCGGCTTAGTATTTTGCTTTGGATGGACAGGAGCATAATGTCGATCTAGTTCTTGCATTGACCTAAGTCTCCTTTCTTCGGCAGTTTGAACAAGTAGCCATTCTTTCAATTTGAATGTACCTTGCCCTCTTTCCACACCTTCTCCAGTAGTGGTGTCAGCAAATCCGCTGATATCTCTGGGTCCATTTTCAATGCCTCTTCTGGCATTCCGTTTTTTTCCTGCTGTTTTTCCATGTCTCCACCTAGGATTAGCACAAAACTGATAATAAGTGGTATTACTTTTACACTTATGGCTGGTCAAATGAAGAGCATTTTAAGCTTAATCATTATTCCTTTGAACCCCAAGGTCATATATTGAATACAATTTTCTAACCATAATGAGAAGAAGTTAGGATGACACCCATTTCTGGCAGAGTAAAATACTTACTCCGTGTATCAACTGAAAGTTTTTTCGGTAATGAGTTAGTAAGGATTACTACATGTTTCCAATGTGTATAACAGGTTGGTCAACGTTTGATAAATTAAGGTCAAAATGACTTTGGAAATAAAGTTAAATTAATGTGCTTACGTTTTCAGTAAACAGTTAGTTATTAAAGAATAAAATAAAGGAAATATCACACACTTATGTACATATCATGTCATCTGACAAACTCTCTTTAAAGTCAACACGATTTTATATTTTAAGCATATTTAACCTTACACGAATTGAAGTGAAAAGAGATCTAGGTCGCACGTTCATACGATTTCTATTAGAAGCTTAAATATCCAGTTGACACAAGGTGACCTCCTTATTATCGTTAATAGTATTAAGAAAGTTGAAAAATGTTCAGTACGATAGATAGTAATAAGTGATATGAGAAGTCAGAGACCACTCGTGTCAGCCAGCGGTGCTTGCAGGTTAAACAAAGACAACGTAAACATATGATAGTGATTTTGACAGTTTGAATATATCCTCATCAGTGCTGCGTCGGTGGCATAGCGGTTAGAACGCTCGCCGACCATGCACATGGTCTGGGGTTCGATCCCCGGCCACCGACACACTCCTTTACCTCGCTAAGCCAGAAATAATGCTGGTGAAGGGGAAAGGTTGGGCATGAGGCTAGCAACCCTATCCTGTAAAATAAACACTGCTACAGAAACTTCAAGTCGCTAGCTTGAAGCCCTATGTTCCACTGGGGAACGTGAAGGAAAACAAAAGTGCTGCTGATCTCAGTTATGTCCAAATCAGTACAATAAGCAACTGGAATTCCCGTTGGCCATTCTAGGTAGACCTGTAACACATAATCTTCTGGAAATTCGAAATACTTTCACTACAGTATATGCGACAAATCTTTACTCTCAGTTCAGTTCTGTTTGCGATAAGCTGACCACTTAATGTTGGAGATGATTTCACTTTCGATGAGAATACACCTTTTTCTCTGTCCATATATATATATAAAGTCTATATTACAAGGCTTTTCTTATTTATTTTTTATTTCAGAAGAATATACGCCGGATAGTGCAGAGACTTATCAAAAATATCTTTTTACACCAACTGATTATTATTTTGGTGGATGGATGTCTGTAACAGACTTGAGAGGACAACCGTTAGCTGTAAGAATCACTAGTAGTTCAAGTCAAACGGAATCAATTCTCTCCAGTTGGAATGATCTCCACTGTTCTGAACTGACCAATAGAAGTGATCATTCTCCCTGTATGAAACAATATAGCTCATCAAATCCTATTGGACAACGACTGAGCCAATCAGTAGCTGACTTTAAACATTCACCCACACAGTCACATGGTGATTCTTCTCGTTCACATTCACACGTGAATATTTCCAAGCGTAATCGTAATAAAAGCTTAAGCCCGAAACGTCTTTCGAAAAGTTGTCAAGATCACAACAATACTTTTTGTGGAATAAAACACAGTTATTCACATTCATTTGGAAGGCATACATGCAAATTTATCAATTACACTGAAGTTAAATGTCAAATTGACGACGCATCACATTATGAAACTACACTACTGGAATCACGTAAACATGTTAAAACTCACCTCACTTTCGATGCCAATCAAATGTGTGTACCACGGAAAAAGTTAAAGTTTCGATCGTGTGAATTTTTAGATGACGTCAAACCATCTTGGAAGATATTTCAATCGAATAAATCGCCAAATGTTCATGATGGATCTGAGTATAGCAGTAGTGCTGTTACACCAGATCTTCCAATTAAAAAACATCACCTGAGGTCAAAAGGATTGATTAGAAGACGATATCATCTTTGTGATGAATCCAATTTATCAACAAGGAAGCTGATTAAACTCTTTAAATTTCGAAGAAAGAAAGAAGTTCACTTTGGGAATAGTTCAAAGTTTGAACTTGCTAAAGCTGTCAAAACATTATCAGATGTTGGTCAAAGTTTGGCTGAAGGTTCCGTAGGTACAATAAGATACTTAGAGAAACCTGAAGATATTGATGTCATCGAACAACCATCATGTTCCTATGAAACAAGTGTTTCAAGTGTACATACAAGAACAGAGCAACATATCGACTTGAAAATCAATTACAATTATATTGGTTTTGAACAACACGTCAAAGATGTCAGGGATGAAAACTCTCAAGTTACACCTATACCTTCAGCGGATTATTCCGATTCCGGTCAATGGAGTATGAGTCAGACTACAGGTGAAGATACTACGAATAATTCAGCACAGCATATTCTTTCAGGTTCTGAAAGTCCCTTATTCGACTTTATTGACAATCAGCATCAGTTTGGGGAAACACCTTTACAGAATGCAGTCACCTCATCAATTAGACCATGTGATTTAGGAGAAGAAATAAAACTGTCACCACAACTACCAAAGGATCAAACGCCTACACAAATGATCCTAGTAATGGGAAGTTACAGTCCTGCGAATGACTGTGTATCAGGCTCCTCCGAACGCTCTTATACAAATGAACAAACCGGTGTAAGAACTAAATCAATGTCAGATTCCTATGCAGAAGATAATGACTCTGAGGTAACATTGGAAAGTGTACCAATGGGAAATACTCTAATGAAGGAGTCTTTAATGACTCCGAATTTATCTAATCACAGTTATCAAATACCTTCACCGAATTCGAAGTCTTTCTCAGTAGTTTCGGGAGAGAATAAAGACACATTGTACAGCTCTCAACTTTCGGAAAGTATTAACACCTTTTCTCCACAGAATTCTCCTTTCCATTTGTATTCTTCTCAAGGAAAAAATGAAGAATATTCAGAAAATGTTAATAAAACTTTCACTGAAGGTATTGACTGTGGATTAAGTCACCTTTCGACTTTTAAGCCAAATTCATCTGTTTCGTCTGCATTTCACAAAGACTTTCCTGACGAGGAAGTAAGTAAATCTACAAAAGATTGTTATCCATCTGAAGCTGAGATGTGCAGAGTAGCTACAAGCCATTCAGAAAGGAAATCAAAAGATCCACCCACCTGTGATAGCAGTCATCAATCTCTTGAGAAACAGCTAAGTTCTTCTCCGGGGAAGATACCAATCAGTGTTGTTCTTCATAGTGAAGTACCAACTTCTTCGTGTACAAAAGATGTGACTAAGTTCGACCAGGGCAGCACGTATAATGTAACGGTGACAAAAGTAGAAACGTCTGAAGTCCGAAGTCTATTACTGACAGATTCTACAAAACCGCAGGATCATAGTCCTTCTGAAGCTGAAGACATGAGCAGAATGGTTAGTGAACTAGCCGATGTTAATGCAAATCTATTACCAGGTGGGAATATTCAAACGTCTGAAAATTCGCATCATCCTAATGACATTCATATGCATTCAGATTTTGACACTAATGAAAAAGTTGCATTCAATAATGATTTTAATACACAAAATCTTGTCAATACCACAGTTCCATCTCGGCCCGCATCTCATTCTGCATCAACAAATGTACCTGATAGCGATAACAGTGATGCTCCAGTCAATAAGACTGATGTAAATAATCCCGTCAATGAAACATTGGATGGTTCAGTAGAACACAGTGGTGATCACATGAAATCTAGTGTTACTTACATCCGCATTAATAGTGTATTCAAGATGTCAGAAAACCATCCAGAATCGGAGACAACTGTGTCATCGTCAGCTGTAACAATTGCACGCGATATCACAGAACTTCCAGCCAGCCAGTTTCATACGTTTGCGGAAAATAAAACCGTAGATTCTTTGACAGCTAATCACAAAATAAATGAAGGCGAAACATCAACATGTAATCAGTTAGTGGATTCATCTGATAACCTACCCCATGATCTACCAACCAGCAATCAACAGGACAAGATAAATGAAATACAGGTATCATCTTATACAGAACCGGAACCAGTATCTCAAGAGATTTTCAAAAATACTATTCCACCCAGTGAAACATGTAACATCAAGACTATAAGACTACCAATGGAGCTTGGCGACAGTACTTGTGAGCTATCTGAAGGGAATGAAATATCCCGAAACAACAAAGAAGGACTAGAAAAAGACAGTGTGAGTCAACTTCAACCAAATGAAACTTCTGAGCACTTACCAAGTGGACTACATGAAGATAAAACTATTGGGCCTTCATTGAACTATCCCTCTGGCATAAAGGATTATCAGAGTGATGATATTTCTACAATGAATCGTGTTACGGATCAATGTGGTTTGGACACATCTACGGAAGGAAAAGACACTCCTGATCAGTCAATCAAGAATCATATATTTTCCGATCAACAAACTGAGGTAAATGCATTCCAATCGTTGCCTTTCAGTCAAACTGGGGATTATAATATAGATGCCCATAATAATTCTGATGCAGTTACTGTGGATAAGGATGACTCCTTGAATGCACAAAGCCTTTCACAATCAAAAGTGGAATCATTGACAGATCCTGACATCGTTGATAACAGAAAACAGTCTAACACGGAGTGTGTCAATGTATTCATTAGTGGAGAAGAACAATCGGTTGACTCTGGAACTAACCAGTTCAATATTATGAGGTCCTTCTTACCAAAACAAACTGAAGCTGCTGAGTCAACGGTTATCCTCACTAACCTTGTCCCTAAGGAAGAACTTGAAAATGATCATTCTTCTGCAGTTAGTGAGATTTCCAGTCAGCAACCGCTTACTTATAATAAACCGTTTCCTGACCAGAATTCTACGGATGATCACACCGAAAGTAATGCTTCAATGTTTTCTTCCTTGAAAACGCATGACTACCAGTCCCCCGAAGAAGATGCATTGGGTAAACAAATTTGTCATAACACTGATGAAATGGCTTCTTCATCAGGTGATCAAATAGCCATTAAAAACGTTGAGGACGTTTTCATCAAGCCAAGTGGAAACTTGCATTTCGTCAGTTTCGATTCGTGTAAAAATGCAGAAACAACTGTTAAACCTCAACAGGCTATTGAAGATTCCACAGCTGCTAATTCTTCGTCCATTGTTTCTCCGATAACAGTAGATCCTAGTCAGTATTCAGTTGCATTGATTAATATTCCAGTAAACAAAGACGACGTTTTTGAAAATGTTCCACTGGTAAGTGAAATATCGCCTCTCATCAGTAGGCTGGAACAATCTGCTACTTTAATGGCATCGGTGCCTCATACAAGTTATTTCCCAGTTATAAATCCATCTGAATTCGAAGATAAGGATCTCACGAACAAACCTGGAATCCTACTTGAAGAGAAAGCCTACAGTGATAGAGCTGATAATCAGAAGACCTTAGGGCATGAAAGTCCTACAAAAAGTGGAGAAGCAGTGTCTGAAATCCACACGCTTACATCTTACGATAAAGAGGCTAGCGATCGAGAGAATTCCGTTGACTTATGTCAAGTCACTCCAGTGAAAATCTGTGCCTTATATGCTACAAACGATGGCAGACCACAAGAAAATGTTAACAATGACAGCGGTACACTCCTAAGCTATCAAGCGAAACCTTCTTCACCCACGGATGAGAATAATACAACGGTTGACAGTGATAATTCGGATAATATAGTTACCGATTTTAAAGGCAGTCAGTCTACACCACCTCTGAGTTGGGATAGTGAACGATCCGATTATTCAAATATGACTTATTCACCCACTGTGTATTTGTGTAACTCTGAAACCAGCCTACAGGTATCATCATCTATTATAAATTCTTCGTCACAATTAGAAAATGATATGAGCATGACAGATAATACTGCCTGTTGGCTAAATCATAGTTTAAATGGTGTTGAGTTCGGTGAACAGACTGTAAGATCCATTCTAGTGGACAATAATGCGGAAGATGATGGAAAGACACTGGCTATTTTTTCACCACTTCAAAAGTTATCACATCATCATCATCACCAACCGCAGAGAAAGCAGTTGCAGATGAAGAAGACAGCTCATCATGTACAATGAATCAGATATATGTGGATGATAAATATATCCTTCAATTACCACAGCACAGTAGAATCGGTGATCTGTCTCGAATTCTGAAGTAAGTGAAAGCTTTATCTAACGCTAACTTTTATTTACCTTTAGGAAATTCTAGAAACTAACGTTTTTGAGAATTTATTGTTGAGTGATGTCCACTATGGCTAAAAGTATGACTCAGCGTGTGATGTTATCTTAACCCGAATAGTCGTTTGTTCTAGAGCCTAATGTAAACGCCAAACCTGGTGTACTAGTGTTATGATGTTTGATGACTACACTTTATCATAACAGTGTCATATTTCGACAAAAACCGGGCACCAATCAACATCAGCGGGAAAGAGGTTACCTTCTTCTCTTATCTACGAAGCATCAAAATCAGAATCGGAAACGCGAGATACGCCTTCATCAACCTAAAACCAGTTTGGAAATCTTCTGCGGTCACTGAGCACAAAGGATTAGATTCGCATTTTCAACAACAACGTCAAGTCGGTCCTTCTATACGGGTCAGAAACTTGACCGGCGTGTCACGAAAAGGATTTCTAACAGCCAGTTGCAGACTTTCATCAACAGCTGCCTTCTCCGGCTCCATACTGAAGATCAAATGGCCAGAAAGAATAATTAACAAGCAACTGTGGGAACAAACCAACCAAGAGCCAATCGCTCAACAAATATGTAAGAGAATATGGAGACGGATCAGGCACATACTGAGGAGACCATCAAAACCATCGCGCACCAGGCCATCGAGTGGAATCCAAATAGAAAGCCACTAGTGGGTCGTCCTACAGTGACATGATGGAGAACGCGTGATGAGGAGATAAGAGATTATGGGCAGTCGTGGAGCTAGGTAGCTGAAGAGAACTGCAGAAAATAGGACAAAGTGGATGTGTTGCTGAAGTCCAATGCTGCACCCGGAAACCAAGGAAACAATAATAAAATAATGATTTCAGTTGTTGAAACGTTTATTTATACACTCCATGCTACCGTTTTGAGTGTTACTCTCCACATGCGATATCTCAAATTAGCAAAAATGATTGACGTCTTCATTTAGCTAGTGTGACATAATTTTACTCTTGCATATCATTATTACATGGACTCCAAAGTGGAACATGGGATTTTCTCAGCACTTCACCACTTCATCCTGCTTTCTTCAGTCCTCTCCAACTGGCCCCACGATTGCCGACAGACTCTCATCTCCTCCTCACGTTATCTCCTCCATGTCACCTTCAAAGCCATGCCTAACTCGAGGTTTCCCATTCGGGTTCCACTTGAGGGATAATCTGGTGTGCAATGTTACCCATCAGTCTCCTCGACGTGTGTCCAATCCATCTTCATTTATTTCGGAATATTTTTTGAGCCATAGGTTCTTGATTTGTTCATTCCTAGGGTTTCTTGATGCCAATTCTTTTTGACCAACCTGTCTTCAGTATGGAGCCAGAGAAGGCAGCTGTCGGTAGAAGTCTGCAGTAAACCCTTGAATATATTCTTCGTGACGCGTAGTGCAAGTATCTGATCCATTTAGAAGAAATGACCGACTTTAGAGTGGTGTTAAAGTCGGAATTTTGTTTCTAATGCTGAGTACAGAAGGTTTCCAAACTGATATTAAAGTACTCAATGTCTGTCTTACATTTTCGATTCTAGTTTTGACATACTCATCCGTGCTGACTGCCTGTAGTTGAAACGACGTTGGCTAGAATATGAAGGAAGTGAACTCTTTCAGATTTTTCTCGTTGATAGTGATTGGTGCTTATTGTTGTTGGCTAGTTACTTTCATCACCTCGATCTTCTATATGTTTACTTGAGATCTTGTCTTTGTTGTCTACATCTTCTGCCAATTTACTGGTTTTTGTTTATAGGTCTTCAAGTTTATGTGACATTAGACATAAATCACCAGAGAGAACCAGATCTTCTAGGGTTTTCTTGTCGGTCCAACATATTTCTGTCTTCTCGCTCCCCATAGTCTCCCACACGTTCCAGTCCACCATAGTTAAGAATATCATCGGTGATAGTAACCACCCTTGTCTTACTCCTGACTTCACTTTAAGGGCCTCACTGAATTTTTCGTTGTAGACCTCTTGAAACGTTGTCGAAAGTCTCTAGAAAGTCAATGAAGTTGAGACAGGGATCTATTTGCCATTCTGCACTCTGTTAGATAATGATACGCAGAGGTGTTATTTGATATGTGCATGATTTGCTTCTCCTGAATCTAGTATATTCCATTTGGAGTTCCTAATCCAGAGCACCTTTTTGTCTCCCCATGGTCAAAAGCATGATCCCGTGCCAGTTCTCGCAGAGGCCTAAGTTACCATTATTTGATAGTTCGACAAGACAGACCTTTCTTTCAACTAGTAGGTACCTTTCCTTCCTTCCAAATCGTTTGCAGTCATGGCTTGCCAATTTATAAATTGAAAGTGCTGCCTGATATTTGTCACATCTGAACCAGATGTGAGAAAACAGTTTCTGTAATCAACGGATAAAAAATCAATAAGACTATAGAAATATATGATTGTATAACTGTTGCACCGTATGCATATATTATCTTACAGAAAGTAGAAATTAAGACAACTCAACGAGTCACGCTGTGTTGACATAAAAACCAAAAAGACAGAAAGCTTATAAGTTTATAACTGTTTTCATGATGCAGAGAAACTATTTTGTGCGCATTAGTTCATACAGTAAGTCCGATTTCACAGAGTTTTCGAGAGACTCACCTCAAGCTGTTACAGAGCATTTAGTTACTATGGTATTCAATGAAATATGATAAATTTGTATTTAGAAAGATATCGATCTGAATAAATATGATGACCTTAACAAAATTACTTATCCGGCACCAGGTGACAATCATCCGACCTCGGGAATAGCCTATCTTCTGGATACTGTATTTTTACTATTCCCAACTCGTTAAAAATATTTAGAATTCATACTGAAGGCTTGTAAACCGGGACAATAGAAATGATTTAGGTAATTGTATATCCTAACGGAATTGTCACCTGTTCATTACTAAATAAGAATGCATTATTACGATAGAGAAAGAAAGACCAGATTTACAGTATAAAATGTGATATCATCATTCTATTTCACAGGTTCCCATCATCTGCAGACTACCTGAAATTACAATGGTTATGTATGGATGATAATAACATACTTTAATGTTTAAGTGGTAGTAGAGAAGAAATACTATAAAATTGACGCATCCAAAATGTAAGCATTACAATTTTTAGTTTAAGTTTTCATCATCAATTTATACGCTTTCAAAGTAGAAAAGAGGGGGGAGGGATAAGACAGAAAACAGAAAAAACTGATTAACAGAACAGTGTTAGCTTGTAGGTTCACATAGCAACTCAAAAAACAAAAGCGGTTACAGTTTATAAGATTGAGATTTGCTCAGTGAGTTGAGATCACTGAATTAGATGACTAATTAATGTAATCAAAATCAAAATTCAGTTACCAAGAGAGTGAGAGATTAATCACACTCTCTTTCTGTATGCATAAGTCTGGTTGGTTTGAATCGTTTGATTGCGATCGCTTCGACAAATCGTAGTAAATTTGCTGTCCTTTGTCTATTTAATATTTTGAAGGACTTCGAAATCTCTACGAGATGACCAGTGTCAATAAAATGTCTGATAATCGCACTCTGAGAATATTTGCTTCCTTTTAGGCACAAGTTTCTTGGGATATTTTCTGAACTAAAAATTGTAATGCTTACATTTTGGATGCGTCAATTTTATAGTATTTCTTCTCTACTACCACTTAAACATTAAAGTATGTTATTATCATCTATATATAACCGTTGTGATTTCAGGCAGTCTGCAGTTTATGAGAACCCGTGAAATAGAATGATATCCTTTTATACTGAAAATTTCATCTTCCCTTCTTTATCGAAATTTGTCAATGGAATCAAAAGTATGAAATGCAATGTTACTAGTGCTTGTATGTGAAGACTAAGGTATCCATAGATAAAATGACTAGTTTTATCACAGAAGTCTGCAGTAAATGAAGGTTTGTCTAAACAGCTGTTTCAACAGATTATCATCTAAGTTTTTTTTCTTTAACTATTGATCGGGGATGATGTGACCATTTGTTTAAATAACTGGTTCATTGAATTCATCCATCACTCGTGCTACGATTCTTGTTAAGCTTACAATAAGATTACAGTTGAAAAACAGAACGAGACGGTTACGCAACATTCCACTGGATAGGGCATTGCATCTAAGACTTGAAAAGTATCAAGCACGCAGAGAACGCTACACTACCGCATCACGTTTATTTTTGGTCGATGTAATTCTCCGGATACCTCGTATCAGATGATTGAAATAGACTGAAATGACCACCTAATCGATTCAACTGACAGTATTCTCTGCACTAAACTGGGTCTGAAATGAATTTCTAAGTGCAGATTCTAGTCACCTGGTTTTCTTTTATATTTGAATAGCTTGAAAATATGTCGTAAACTGTGAGTTATTCATCCCAATGAGATAAATTTTTCCCGCTTGAGGTATCAGTATGCAATAAATATATATATTATGTGATCTCGGTTGACAACTGTCATTTCCTTTTTTGTACAGACTGATGAAAATGCTGATGGAAGTATCTGTAACAGACGTTTCATTTTCACTGGATACGCTTACAACATCCTCACCTCATTCTTTCATTTGGGTAAGTATGAAAGTTAAAATATATGTGTGTGTCATTTACTTATTTATTCAATAATTTAATAATTGTCATTGTAAAACAAGCAATAAAGGTTAATAAAGCAGGATTTAATGAATTCATCAAATTTCGCTAGAAGTCGTCAGCTGAATACTCTACATACACGGATATATATATACTTTTGAAATAACATTGGGAGATATAAGACTGATAAGTAAACAAACTTGTTATCCTTAACACCACTAAGCGAGTGCTTCAACAATCTGGTAAAGACCAGTCGCCAATCCTCGACACTTCAAACTGCGTATATCAATTTGAGTGTGTTTGTGGAAGCAAATACATAGGTCGTACGGAAAGCCGATTGTCTAGTCGCACAACGGAGCATTTGCCAAAATGGTTGAAAACAGCTGAGTGCAAAGTGCCAAATTCCTCACTAACAAAACATTTTGTGGATTACGGACATGATATCGACGCTGTCAAGTCATTCACTGTTGTCACCAGACAAAGAAACAAGAACATGCTTGCAATTGCACAGGCTTGTGCAATTCGAGTTTATAAACCAGGTCTTTGTGTACAAAAGGATGTGCATTTCGTCCTATTTGGGACTCGTCATTTGGATGCACCTGCATTTCCCAATGAGTCATGATGTTCCCACCGAGGCTCGAACCCAGTGCCTATGGTTTCAAACGCCAAAGCATGATCCACTGAACCAGTTGGTCCACAAGAGTCACCTCTTGTGCAACGGATCATATTAAATTTAACAATAATAATAATCGTAGTAATGAGGGAAAGGTACATAGAGTAACTAAATGAAAACAATAAATCAATGTCTATCCCTCTACGGCCAAGGAAGAAGGGGTGATTGTACATACTTACTCACTTAAAGTCATGAATTATCAAGGCCTCCGCTATCTTTAGAAGTCTGTGACAAAGAAAACGCGGCAAGTCAGCATGGATTCAGTAGATGATCTTAAAATCATGGTCAAGATTGGCAGAGTGACAGGAGTTAATTAGGTGTTCTAGAATACAGTTCCTCACATATTTCCTTTCTCCCTTGTAAAACCATACTGGAATATGTTCTTGTATCCATATGGAGAGCGTCCTTATTTAAATTTACTTATTTTACGAGTAATTATTCTACATACTGGACAATAAGATTCATTGGTCTAAAGGTTATTTTTACCCACTGACTTTGGAGATTTTGTGAATTTGTGTATTTTTAAAAGGTTATTTTCTCTTGAAAGATTTCACTGCTTCTTGGTATGTGATCCAAATGACGTAATAACCTCAGTCATTTGTTTCACTTGGTTTGCTTTACTTTCGTAAACAACAGAAACTAGTGTCAACCTTGGCTAATAAAACTTTGAAAAACTGTTTAAAAACCTGGAATATTCTAAATGTCTTGAATAATCATACAAAAATTCAGAACACTATTCAAGCAAATACGTATTTTCAGTAAATTTTCTTCAGGATTTTCATTCTTCACATAGTGAAAAATTAGTCATGAGCATCTCAAACAATGTGGTTAATAGAATATAGGATCAGAGTTCAGGGATGCAAATTAGTAGATAACAATCGAGGTGATAATAATCATAATAACGAGGATAAATTCATCCAAGTGTTTGCATAATCTAGGTAATGGTGAGTGAATGGGTGGAATGTACATACTGGTAGGGATAGAGGAGAAAATAACTATTGTCACACAGCGATTAGACAATATAACAGTAATGATAATGATAACTTGTAAAATCGAGATTAAAATGAACAACTACAGCCCAGCATGATATTGATAATACAGTTAGCAGTAAAAACAGAAATAAAAATGTAATAAGATAATGTTTGCAGTTTTCCAGTGTCACTGGGAGAGATAACTATTTTAGGCTGGGAATGAAGGCCAAGGGAAGGAGAGAGATTCAACCAACTTTTTCTTCACTTGGAGATAAGGTTTACGGATAATCTACCGAGTCTGACCACTTCAATGTGCATTTATAAATTAATCTGTTCATGTGGAGACAGTTGCATAAGTAGAACGATTCGACCAGCTCTTGGTCGCCATCTGGAGCATTGTTCAACGTGGTTAGGTAAACATAGCAATAATAATCTACTTTATTCCAAAAACAGTACTTATAATACAGAATGGAATTCTCAGCATTAATCACAATATTGCATCTGATTTACTCAAAATATAAATAAAAATTAAAACAAAATTAACCAGTGGAATTTGTCCACATTTATGGTATAAAGTCAAAAATATTCGAAGTACAAAACGAGAATAATAACTATAATAGTAATAATAATAATAACAGTGAGTTTATTTCAAACAGTATTTTCGATTCAGTTTGGAAATTTTAGCATTTTATAGATTATAGAATCTAAGGTTCTGTTGATATAGTGAGGTGAGGGGAAATACAAAATTAGCAGTTATAACACAGCTGAAATGATGCTCACACTTATGAAAAAAACAAACAAATAAAAACAAAAAATTGAGAGGATTTTAAATATAAGAGGAACAATAACAATAAAGCTTGATGCTATAAGAGTGGAGAAAATGGTTTATTTACTAGTGCAAAGAAGGCTAGTTAGTTCATGGCTGATACTATTTTCATCACATAAAGTACGTGCCGTCAAATATGGTATAGTGGAATTTTTATACTTAGACGTACGTGCATAAAGTTCTATGAAAAGACTTCTTGTTTTACCTGAGGAGGTACAAGATTGAAGCTGCGGGTAAAGTGGATGCTCATAGTCTGACAAAATTCCTTTAGCAAATTTGTTGCATGAAATCAAGTGCCTATCAATGACGATGTCAACGATATGGTCCAATGAGATACCACTCGCCCTACTGACAGTCTTCAGAGTCCTACGAAGTATGACATAGTCTTTTTTAAACAATCCAGAAAAGAATAAGGGTGAACAGTAAAGAAGAATAGGTAAGATGTACGAGTTGAAAAACTGTAAAAGGAGGGGTTGAGTTATGCCTGAGTGACTTAACTTTGTAATGTAAAAGGTCGGACGAAACATTCTTTTAGAAATAGCTAAGACATGGGAAGACCAGGATAGGTCAGTAGAAAGAATTAATCCAAGATACTTAACTTCAGACTTGATTTCTATATCACTACCATCAATTTTGCAAGGGTTATAGGAACCAACAGCTTCATTTAAATTTCTTTTGCATTGGAAACTGAAATTAACAGCTTACATGTAGTAAAGTCAATCAAAAGTTTCACACCAGCACACTTAGTGGATATGGAGCATAAGGTCGACAAAAATTCAGCCTTTACAGTTCTATACAAGGTGCCACCTCAACTCCTTAGGTTGATACATCGTTGTTTGCTGAGCTTAGAAGAGGCGGTTGCCTTAAAAATTTTATATTCAATCTCTGTGTCGAGAAAAATTTGGTTCATCTTCCTCACTCCTTCCCTTGGCCTTCAACCTCAGCCTAAAATAGTTATCTCTCCCAGTGACACCGGAAAACTGTAAATATTATCTTGTATTTATTTGTACTGCTAACTGTATTATCAATATCATGCTGTGCTGTAGTTGTACATTTTAATCTCGGTTTTACAAGTTATCATTATTATTACTGTTATATTGTCTAATTGCTATGTGACAATAATTATTTTCCCCTCTATCTCTAGTAGTATGCACATTCTACCTATGACTAATTTTTCATTATGTGAAGAATGTAAATCCTGATGGGAATTTACCGAAAATACGTATCTCCTTAAATCGTGTTCTCCAAATTAAGAAAGCAGTCGGAGACGTTAGACACAATCTCTTTTAACTCGTCGTGTTTGTTGATTAAATGGCTAGTGAAGCTTGTATATGGATACTGAGGTCTTCAGGAACCACAGGTTTCAAGTCTAGTTCGGCACTTTTCATGAAAGTATCACTGGCGGACAGGGACTCAGTCTTAATTTCAAATATACGCCTTACAAATGATTTAAATGTTTGAGAGTTAGTTAATATGGATTCTATTTGTTTCAAATTTGACCAAGGATCAATATCAGTTAGAGAACCACTTAAAACCAGTGAGTACTAGACAGACTTTTCGCCTCATTTTGAAACTCTTCTCAGTACTCATTCACTACGGTTCGAATCCAGTACCACCCGGATAAAAGTCAAGCTCGTAGACCATTCAGCTAGTTGGACCTAACTTAATGACCCATGAATTCTAACTTCTAGTGGAAAGTCGTGACCAGTTGGGTCCATTTGCTTGGTAGTGGGAATAAATAATAATCGCCAGTGACATTGCTTGGTGGTCACGCTAAAATCACGAATTGGTAGAAGGCACAATTCATGAGTCATTGGTTTGGGTCCCAGTGGCTGAATGCTCTGCCAGTTTGACTTGTAACTGAAAGGGCCCGGCTATGTACCGATGAAGCGTCTCAAATTAGGACGAAATGTCTGTCCAATACTCCCTGGTTTCAAATGGTTCTCTAACTGATATCACTACATGGTCAAACCTAATATAAATATCTTCTTTTGAATCTTTTCACATGGGTTATTTTCATAGTACAAATTGAATGGTTATTAGTTATATCATGAATGTATGGATCTATTTTAGGAGTGATCAACCTAACTTATGGATTTTCATTTATATTTTCACTATGCTCTTTTTATTGTAAAATGAAATCACCATTATATGCTTCACCTCTCCTTGATTTAAATTTCCATTATATACTAGAAAAGTGAAGTCTTATTTATTTTAATTCCAGTTTGCTGTTCTATTTTTAATTTGATGTAAAGTGGTCACATCATATTACGTAATAGGGCTATTTACCTAACTATAGATGATCTGACTGACTGGTTTCAACATAGAACTTTGCACCAATGTCCAGCAGTTCGAGTCGCCACAATCCCTCCTTGTAGCACACAAAGCGAGAGGAGAAAGTAAAAAGAAATGCAAAATAGTGACAGTAAATAGAAATATGAGGCAAAAAGAATAGTAATATCGAAGAACAATATAGTTTTATTGGGTATTATAAATCACAAGGAGTGAATGC